GTTGTAAGTCAAGGACTTTCTATAAATCACCTTATTGGTGGTGGGGTGATTATTTTTAAAAGGGGTCATTATAATCACAATGGATGTCCGTGTTTCATTCAGGAAATATCCCAGGGGGATATTTATATATTGCCTTCTTCGTTGACCTGTAAACGCTCCCGCTTCCTGCGTCTACAAAAGAGCCAGCTCTCAAAATATGCTATGGGCCATTTGGCCTCCTGAGATGAATTTGTGGCAATTCGGGAGTTGTGAAATGATGTGTTAAATTGTTCAATTTGAAACTGTAGTTTTTCTGCCTCTTGACTAACCTCACCGGAAAACATTTTACTACATTTCTCAGAAATATTTCAGGCAAATCTTAGCCTGTCCCTTACTGTACCACGTATACGCTTATCTGTGCATGAAATAAAGGAAGGAAATCAGATCTGGATTGTTCAACTTGCATGCAACAACAACCAAGGCAAAAAAAAAACAAAAAAAACCCCAAGAAGAGCTTTAATACAAAATTACAAAATTTGGGAGGAGGAAGAAGGAAGATGTATGTTGAAAGCAGATCAAATATTCTTTACGTAAAACAAATGTTCCCCACAATGTTTTCCTGCAAAGCAAATTTCTGCTAACCCTAACCCTACCTTGTCCTTTTAAGAGTCTTTCTTTCAGGGGTTTGGGAAAGAAAGAAAGAAAGAAAGAAAGAAAGAAAGAAAGAAAGAAAGAAAGAAAGAAAGAAAGAAAGAAAGAAAGAAAGAAAGAAAGAAAGAAAGAAGATAGGAAATGACGGAGAAAGGGAGTGAGAGAGGGGTGAAGGAAGAAGGAAGGAAGGGAGAGAGAAAGAAAGAAAGAAAGAAAGAAAGAAAGAAAGAAAGAAAGAAAGAAAGAAAGAAGGAAGGAAGGAAGGAAGGAAGGAAGGAAGGAAGGAAGGAAGGAAGGAAGGAAGATAGGAAATGATGGAGAAAGGGAGTGAGAGAGGGGTGAAGGAAGAAGGAAGGAAGGAAGAGAGAGAGAAAGAAAGGAAAGAAAGAAAGAAGGAAGGAAAGAAGGAAGGAAGGAGAGAAAGAAAGAAAGAAAGAAAGAAGAAAAGAAGGAAGGAAAGAAGGAAGGAAAGAAAAAAGAAAGAAAGAAAGAGAAAGAGAAAGAGAAAGAGAAAGAGAAAGAGAAAGAGAAAGAAAGAAAGAAATTAATTCTTTCTGACCCATCATACACTAAATAAAACCAAGAGATGCTTTTTTTGAGTTTCTTTCTCACACTTGTTTCAATCTCTGGACTGAGTAATCCAATGTTTCTCATTCTTGGCACATTTAAGAGGGGTGGATTTCAACTCCCATGCTGGCTGTGGAATTCTGGGAGTTGAAGTCCACCCCTTGGAGAAGAGATGACACCGGTGTCATCTCTTCTCCAAGGAAATCAATTCTGGTCAGGGAATCACCTTCCACACAAGACTAAAACGACAACGATGACTGAGGAAGGATTCTTTGCCCAGTTCTTGCCTGTTTCTATCCAAGTCCCAAAGGTGCTTTTTTTTTCACGAGGCAACTGGACTTTCTTGTTTTTCTTTGAAGACCTTTCGCTTCTCCTCCAAGAAGCTTCTTCAGCTCTCCAGGATCCCTATCCAGGTCTTTCTCTCTATAATACCTTTCCTATTATATTCCTATAATACCTATCTAAATTCTGCAGGTTGCAGACCCCTGAGCAGAGGGATCCCCGTAAATTGGATTTAATCAACAATTCCAAGGCCGTTTATGCCCCATGTGCAGCACTGAGATCAGAAAACAAAAGCTACAGAAGGTTTCCATGCCAAGAAATAAGATCATAATCCTCTCTTCGTAAGCAAGGTTGATTCAGCTGGCACGGAAATCCTTTGGAGACCTCGTAATCCCATCTCGGGAATCAGGATGTATCTTTTATTATGTCATTCCCATCTGGGCCTGGCAGTTTGATCTGACATAACTCCTCTAACGGAGATTAGACACTACAGTAGGCAATACACAAATACACAACGCTAACTCTCACAGTGTGCACTTAGATTCGTCTCACAGTTGCAATTCTCATCTGGATTTGGAAGAGTTCTGGATCGGAGACCCCTCTCCCCCAGGATGACAAATGAAAGAAGCCTAGGTTAAATTAAAGGGTTGTGTACAAGTGATCCAGAACCTCCAGCTTCAGGAGCAGTCTACCACTGAATATCAATGCCTTGGTATTCATTCCTTCTCTCTCATGACCCTCTGACCTGATTGACTGAAGGAGGAAGCCACATCCAAGAAACTCTTGCCAAGTAGAAATGCAATTGCCTTTATGTGGTCAAAATATTTGATTATGTAGAATCAAAAATCACATGAAGTATTAGTACCGTTTTATAAAGCCTTAGTAAGGCCACATTTGGAATCCTGCATCCAGTTTTGATCATCACATTACAAAAAAGATGTTGAGATTTTGGGGGATAAGTGCAGAGAAGAGCAACTAAGATGATCAAAGGACTGGAGACTAAAACATACGAAGAACGGCTGCAGGATTTGGGTACGGCCAGTCTAGAGAAAAGAAGGACTGGGGGGGGGGACATAATAGCACTATTCCAGTATTTGAGGGGCTGCCACAAAGAAGAGGGGGGGGGTCAAGCTATTCTCCAAAGCACCAGAAGGCAGGACAAGAAACAATGGATGGAAATTAATCAAGGAAAGAAGCAACCTGCAATTAAGGAGGAATTTTCTAATAGTGAGAACAATCAAGCAGTGGAACAGCTTGCCACCAGAAGTTGTGGGTACTCCAACACTGGAGGCTTTTAAGAAGAGACTGGACTTGTCCGAAAAGGTATAGGGTCTCCTGCTTGAGCAGGGGGTTGAACTAGAAGACCTCCAACATCCCTCCCAGCTCTATTCTGATTGATTGGTCATCCTTGATTTCTTTGGACCAAAGTGTGAATTGATGATGTCTATTGGAATTAATGGTTGTACAGATCCCTATTTATGCCTCCTACTGGAGATACAGATCTTGGAAGCAGATGAGTGAGAGAAAGTTTGCCTTCTTGACACATTGTGGAAATACACACACACACACACACACATATTTTAGGAAAACATTAAAATATTCTCCCCGACAATTGGACTGCCGGTGGCCAAGTGAATGGAAGTAACCAGGGATGGATAAAATCCGATTTGGCAACCCTTTGCAACCACAAAAATATAACGGAAAGAGAATGCATCCCAGAAAAATCAATAAGTCCGGTACATTCACCGATCATTTTGCCCGGCTATAAATCTCACATCACCAGCGAGACTTTGCTGAACCCACAAAGAGCACCTTAAAGATGACACTATTTTGACCTCTTAAAAAGTAAAGCTACGGGGAAGTTAAAAGCAGGCTAACAAACGCACCTCTCCATCCACACCTGGCGTCCCACACAACCTAGAACGCCACCGATGAGGAAAAAAACTCAGCCAGAATATGAACCGGTCCCTAAAGAACTCTTTGCATGCACCTCCTCTGGTGAGCTATTTACAGAGAGTGTTGAACAGCAAGCCAATCTCCGCTAGCCAGAAACGAGAGAAGGGTCAAGAGTTTTAGGAAACAGAGGGGGGGTGTTTTCTACAGCTCTTGATCGTTCTCTCGTTTCCCAGCACGTCCCCTAGAAACCCCTGCAGGTGCCTCCTCACCTTGCCAGCTGCAGGGCTGGAGAGGTAAGTGGTTGGTTTGTTTGTTTTTCCTGTTCCCACCATCCAAACAAGACTGTTAGGAAAAGAGATGCAGCAGAGAAAGTTTTATTATTGCAATAACAAGGTGAGACAAGGGGGGGGGGGGGGTAGGCTACGTTTGTGGCCAAGGCAAGCAGGGCAGTGGGTGCATCCTTCTTAGAATGAGGGTAAATCCTAGTAGCACTGATGATGTTACCTAGTTGGGTAGTGAAACGTCTACAACCAAGGAATCAAGCTCAGAGAGCACCAAGGAGCCCACATGTTGCTTTGTTTTTATCTGGTTCCATCACCCAGTTAGGTTCAGGATTAAATGGACATCCTCTCCCTCCCTCCTTCCTTCTCCTCTCTCCCTTCTTCCATCTCTCTCTCTCTCTCTCTCTCTCTCTCTCTCTCACACACACACACACACACACACACACACACATTCTTTTCCTTCCTTCCTTCCTTCCTTCCTTCCTTCCTTCCTTCCTTCCTTTTTCTTTTCTTTCTTTCTTTCTTTCTTTCTTTCTTTCTTTCTTTCTTTCTTTCTTTCTTTCCTCTCTCTCTCTCTCTTATTCTTTTCCTTCCTTCCTTCCTGGCCTTCCTTTTTCTTTCTTTCTCTCTCTCTCTCTTTCTTTTCCTTCCTTCCTTTTTCTTCTTTCTCTCTCTCTCTCTCATTATTTTCCTTCCTTCCTTTTTCTTCTTTCTTTCTTTCTTTCTTTCTTTCTTTCTTTCTTTCTTTCTTTCTTTCTTTCTTTCTTTCTTTC